AAACCCTAAACCCCAAACCGGAACCCGAAACGCCAGCCTTGATTCTTTCGGAGCGCTCCTCCTCGATGAAGGCCTCGATCTGCTCTCGGGTCTTGTTCCTGTGCCCACGTTTAGGGTTAAGGGTTTAGACGGTTTAGGGTTTAGGGTTTAGGGTTTAAGGTTTCGGGTTTAGGGTTTAGGGTTAGCTGGTGTTTGGCACATCAGGGTTTAGGTAGGTTTGGGTTGCTTGTTGGAGGCTTGTTTGAGGTCAAGGGCCTAGAATTTAGGTATTTGTTGGCGAGGTTAGGGCTGCCCCAGATAAAGGCTTCAAGACTACCGGTTTCTTCCTAGCACCTGAGATCAGAACGATAGGTAGGTTTTGAAGGAACATTATAACAAAGAAAAACGGAAATGCAGGATGTTGTTGGCTCCGAGGCTCCGGTGGTGTCGTGGGACTTGCTGGTTCCTTTTGCAGTGTGAGATGGAGGGTTCAGCGATGTTGATTGCTGAGGGGGCGCGGCTAGTCTGCGTTCTTGTGCATGAACACGGTTTACTTATTAAGTTGCCATAACAAGGAACCCTACTGTTAAGTCTGGATCGATGTGGTCCTTGAACTTGGCACCGGACTTCGTTGTCTCATCCTTCACTGGTTCTGGTAGTAAAGGACTGTATTGCCTCAGACCATGAATCTGGGTCATGAGCTCGCTGATGTCTAAACTCGGACGGTGGAGCAGATGCTGACTGTCCATCACCTTCACCGTCGGGCTTGTCTCCACCGAACTTGTCGTCGTGCTCGCCACCGTTTTTGCTCACTGTTACGACCCAGCTCAGGGTCTAAGATTCGGAGATCGGTTCGGGGCGGGTCGAGTGGGTTACGGTGGTTCTGTTGCACTTCCCGGACTTGCAGAAATATCTCCAGAAGCACTGCGGCTGAAGCCCTGCACCCTGTAGATCTTGAGGCCTAAATCCCTGACCCTCACACTCCAAAGCAATGAAGAACTCTTGTAGAAGCCTAAACCCTGACACGCCAACTGAAGCCCCGTAGAACTACTATCGAACCTTGAAGCCCTAAACCTTCACCCGTGAACCCCCTTAAACCCCCGTAAAATCCTCAGCCCTAATAACCCTAAACTCCTAAAGCCCAACCCTAAACCCTAAACCGCAAACCCTAAACCCCAACCCCTAAACCCCAACCTAACACCCAAAACCCCCAACCCTAAACCCCCCTTAAGACTCTAAGCCCTAAACCCTAAACTCCTAAAGCCCAGAACCGTTCGAAGCTTGAGGCTCCTTTCTAACTCCAGCTGCTCGTCGAGCCGTCTTACCAGCCGGTCCTGTCGGTTGCTTCGATGCTTGATTAGGGTTTAGTGTTTAGGGTTTAGGGTTTAGGGTTAAGGGTTTCGGCAGGATTTTATTAGGGTGCTATAAAAGTTTCCATAAGTTGCTCACACGGGCTTATACGGGACTTACCACAGGGCCCCGTTTAGAGTGCTCAGGTTTGGGGTGCTGGCAAGGCTTTCATCTTCCCTGGCCTGGCAGCTTGAGTTCGAAAGACCCTAAACCCCAAACCTCAACCCAAAAGCTACGGAAAACTCCACACCCTCAAAATAAAAAGCCCTCGAGCTGTCTCGACCTGAGCCCTCAATGCTCGAAGGACCTAGTTTTAATGCGCGAGGGCTCAAAATGCTAAACCCTGAACTCGAAATCCGAACGCTCTGTCGATCCCTTATAATGAAACCCGTAAGGAAACCCCACATCCCTGCAGATCCCTTAAAGGAACCTGTAGGGAAACCCTGAAGCGCCATAGATCCCTTAAACTCGCCTCTTTTCCGTTTCCGGGTCCAGAAAAGTTCAAACCCTTTTTCATAGACAAAATCTGCAAGGCCAAAAAGTTCAAAGTTCTCCCATTGAGGGCTTCGTTGAAGCTCAAAGGAACCCCCAAAACCCAAATCCCAAATGAGTCGTCGTCAAAACCCCGTTTTGGCGCCATTATCCTATAACTCAATCGATGCGTGTACTTGCGGCCGCCGAATAAAAAAAAATATGAGGAACGCATGTAGAAACACATATAAATATACTTATGCATGTACATATACATACATATTCGTATACATCTACATATACAGGGCATATACGTATACATGTACATAAAGTTAAATAAATTATTTAATAACTCCTCGGCCTTAGGGCCCTAAACCCGAAACCCTAAATCCCAAAAACTCCTCGGCCGTCTGCACATCCTCGAGGAGTTCCCGTTTGGCTTCATCCACGCGCTCACGGAGCCTTGGGCGGCTCAGGGCTGAGATTTTAGGGGTTTAGGGTTTAGGGTTTAGGGTTTAGGGTTTAGGGTTTCAGGGCTTTAGGGTTTCAGGGCTTCAGGGTTTTAGGGTTTCAGGGTTTCAGGGTTTCAGGGTTTTAGGGTTGAGGGTTTAGCTGGCTCGCAAGGCTTCAAGAAACTCCTGCAAGTCCACGTCCGACACGACACCCTTCATAAATGCTAATAATACTAATAATGAATCATACTAAAAATGAATAATACTAATAATGAATAATGCGAATAATGATAATACTAATAATGATGATAATAATCATAAGACTGATAATAATAGCAATAACCATAATCCCATACCCTCCAAGCCCTTGGAGCCCTTCACAGCCGTTTCTTAGGCTCATAAGGTCCGGGGTTCAGGATCTTAGTGCTAATGTTGGGCTTGAGGTGCAAAAAAGTGACTGCGTCATGGTTTAGGGTTTAGGGTTTAGGGCTTGAGGTGCAAAAAGGTGACTGCGTCATGGTGACGATCTGCTCGCGCTTGAGCCCCTCGAAGTGGGTGGAAACCTGGTCCTCAAGGCATTTGAGGCTTGGGAAGTCTTCTGCTGATCAGCCCTAAACCCTAACCCTAGGCCTGGGCTTAGGGCTTTAGGGTTTTAGGGTCTAGGGCTGTGACGGTTTAGGGTGAAGAGGGTTCAGGCTTTATAGGACTGGCGAACCAGTGAGGCTTCGAAACCCGAAGCCTGAAACCTAAAAAGCTTCTGCTCAGCAGTGAGGCTCCCAAAACCCAAGACCCTGAAGCCAAGGTCTCTCATGTAGGGGCCTAAATAAACTACCTATACTACTTTGCGGGGTTCCTTATTACAGCTATAGTATAATGGGCCTTAAAACCCTATTCTAATTATTAAGGCCCCTGTTTTACACCTTCAGACCCGGCAGTCCCTAAAACCGATACCCTAAAGCCTAAACCCTGAGCCGCAAGGCCCCAAACCCCAACGGCACCGCCATGAACCCTAAAACCTCAGACCTCAAACGCATTCTGCCAGGGCAATCTGGGAAACATGAAAAAGACACCCTGGTCCTACAACCCCAAGATATTAGGATCGGTATGAAGAACCCGAATAAAGATTCAAGGCTTCTTGATCAGGTTTCTACACTCGACCCCAACTTCAACCAGCGAATAAGGACCCCAAAGGTCCTCGTGGGCTTTCAGCCGCTTCTGCAAGGAGGACACTCGCTCTGCCTCTGCGCGAAGACGGAGGGAGCGCTCCTCCTCCAAAAGGCGCACCTTCGGCAAAGAGAGGTGGGGTTTAGGGTTTTTTTTTAAAAAAAAAATGCACTAAGGGTTTAGGGTTTAGGGTTTAGGGTTTAGGGTTTAGGGGTTAGGGGTTAGGGATGAGGGCTTAGGGTGCGTTGCTTGTTGGTACTAGGGTCTTGTTCTGTTGTCTTGGCCATGTTAGGTCTTGGGGTTTCGAGGTGCAGATAAAGCTTCTTCGATGCTCTCTTGAGGGCGGCTCTACCCCTGCACCTCGGAAGCAACGCCTCTCTACTACACTCGGTATGACTTAGCTTGCATGCAGCTTCACTACCAGGACCCTCCAAGTACCCTCAAATAGGGGTATATGGTCCCAAATTAAGGGTCTTTAGGGGTCAACCTCCAACTACCCTAAATAGGGGTCTATGGTCCCACATTAAGGGTATTTAGGGGTCAACCTCTAACTACCCTAAATAGGGGTCTATGGTCCCAAATTAAGGGTATTTAGGGTCAACCTCCAACTACCCTAAATAGGGGTATATGGTCCCAAATTCAGGGTCAAAGAGAGGGTAGATGGAGGGTCTAGGTATAGATCCTCAGAGCCCAGATCCCAGTCCACAACCACGACCTGGATCCACGGTTTAGGGCTTAGGGTTTAGGGGTTTAGGGTTTAGGGTTTAGGGTTTAGGGTTTAGGGTTTAGGGTTTAGGTATTATAGGGACCTTGGAATAGGGCGCAGGGGATATAGTCTTCAATGTTTCGATTGGGAACTCAGGGCCCTATGTGAGAAGAGTACATGATAACTTGGAGCGTTTCTGGCGATTTGAGGGTTGAAGTTAAAGGGCTCGCGGCTTCCTTTAAACCCTAGGCCCCGAAAGACATCCTAAACCCCTAACCCCAATAGCCCAAACCTAAACCCTAACACCTACACCCCAGGCCTAAAACCAGAGATCTCCGAGTTTGGGGCACAAGGCTCAAGTGCTAGGGTCAAGGGAAAGTGTTTTGGGGGGGTTTTCGGGCTAGGGTCAAGGGAAAGTGTTTTTTTTTTTTTTTTTT